CAAAAACTACAAAGCAAAGAAATCGAATGCAGCAAGCTGCTGTAGCAGCTGCAGGACTCCCACAGTAACCTCTTCTGAGTAAAATCTAGCCCTTGTTGAGTCAAACAGACCAACTCAAAAATTCTTTGCCTATATGCTGCAACTGGAGTATCTGACGCAATATGGAGAAATAAATTCACGTGTGCCCTATAAAAAAGCTGTATCACTTAGTACACATTTCAAGGTGAGGGTTTCGGCTTTGACAGCCAAAACTCATTTGCTTTCATTACCTAGGATCTTTGCTTTTAATCTGTGCGTTATGCTAAATTCAAAGGCGTCCAGCCAAGCAATAGCATAAACTACCACTTTGCCGGTTTTCGCAACTTAAGCGAAAAATGATGGAACTTTCAGGATGCGAAAACATCAAAGACATGGGGGAGAGAGGGGGAATGAAATGGAAAAAAGCAGCAAAAATATTTTGATGTATATCATCCAAATACACAAGTTCACATGTATTCATATGTATCCATGGACAGCTCGTGTACGAAGGAGAAAATTCAAGATAACAGGAACAGCCAATGTAACACCGGGAATAGCAAAACCGCCCTCAGGGATCTCATGTTAATGATTCTCCCACTTTCTTGAACTGTGCCCTCTTTTTTGTAAAGCGTGGACTGGGAGAGGATCAAACTACTCGGTATCACATCCGGACGCAAAGTGCTGACCACTGCACCATTTGTTTCTATGTTCATTGAGCGAAACATCAATTATTTTTTTAAAATGTAGCAGTTTTTAGTAAAGCACTCCTGACATCCACATTCTGGATAAAAACTACATCAGAATTTTGAGCTGCATACCTCCACATAAAGCACAGCAGGTGGTACAATTGCTGGAGGTTTCTACGAAAACTTCAGCCCAATACCAATCTTGAAATAAAATGAGTTTTCGTTATATAAAGAAGGAAAATACATGAGATGCAACAAAGAATGGAAATCTCACAGAACAGCAAGATATGCATATTCAGGACAATACATATATTTGAAAAGAAATTTTGTCTAAAAATCTTAATATCTTTAAAGCTGCAAGGATAAATTAGCACTTAGCACTTAGCTATAAACGGATGTCAGGGTCACCAGCAGCAGGTTGACAGCAAACGTTGTAACACTGCTCAAATCAGATGAGAATGTAACCGGCTGCATAGTTGGAGAAATGGAGAAATAACAAATTAATAAATATGGGAAAATTTGCGAATCTCCGGAATTAGTGACAAAAAAATTCCGAAACAATGAAGTTATTTTCAAAATCTCAAATTCCGAGATTCTCTTGGTGGCTCAATACCAAAGAGAAGAGCTCAAATCCCGAGAATCATCCAGCACAGATTCAAATTTGCCTCAATATTCTCCTAATAAGTATAAGTGCAAAATAAGCTCATAACTGTTCATCACCAGACGAAGGTACAATCTCACTTGGCGGCGTTACGCCACCGTTCGAATCAGTGGACGACGAGGCACTTCCATCAGCGGATGTTGCTGCAGTTGTTATCACAGCGATTTTCTTGTAGTTACCAGTGCCACCGATGCCGCTGTCCAAGCCACCAACAGCTGCAGCACCCTCAACAAAGATAGCCGATGAGCGGCGAAAGCTGTTTTTTATCCATCGTGCGAATTTATTCATTTTAGCAGTGATATCGGAATGTATTCCGGACTGTGAGGTTGATGGCATACTGCTTTTGCGTGTCGCTTCATGCATCGCCTAGAACTCAAAATACATTTACTACTATTGCAAAATATGCATCCACTGGATCGGCAGGCCTAGCGCAGCTGTGCCTGGTTGTGGGAGCATCCCAGGAATATCACTAATGGAATATCTACAACGAAAGCTCAGGCCATCTTCGTATTCCTGACATAAATCCACAGAGAGAAGAGAAAAGTAAGGAGCGCCTGATGTTGTCGGTACCATTGCCAAAAATTTTTTTGCGTTTCGTTTCCATGATAAGTCACAAATAACAAAATCGTTTGAGCAGAATCAGTGCAGTATCTCATGTTAATAATGTCGTCGGAATGCTACCGCACACTAGATGCAGCCGTGTCAAACCGTTTTTGCTGTGCAGCGCTATAGCACTGCTACAGCCAGCAATCCAGGCAGGAACGCAGCGAGCGGGCCCGTGCGATCATGCGTTTTTGCACCGGGCTTGAATTACTCAGGTCATTAACTGTATGAAT